GCATTCTATCTAAAATCGGTCTGAGATTTATCGCCTTTTTTCTTTATTTCCACACTCAATCCATCTCCCCTCACCGTCCCGAAACTACCGCTTGTTGTCTGTTGCACTTCAAACCATTGGGATAAGTTAACAGTGACCGGAAATCGGTCAGTCACGTCATAATTTGCTCTTCATTTCCGCACGTTTGATGGTGATTTATCGGATTGTAGGCGATACTATAATGATACCGGTGAATGTTGTCAGTAAGCTTTGTCTCCACGAGTCGACTGTGACCACATATCATTCTCAACAAAGTACGATTGATTTACGATGCTCAGTTTGCCTGATTTCCTGTATGACTGCTAGCAAACATATCAAGCGAGTGTGACAATGTTACCAGAAGATCATTGCGTCACATTCTTCTCCATGCTCACTCTTCTTCTATACTAGTTATGAGGTCTGCTGTCGGAATTCTCAAAGGTGCTAAACCTCAGCAGCTCCTGATACTAATGGATACAATCCTCATAACAATAATAAGCAGAATAATAATAATAATACATTTATTTTTGAATGTGGTTAATACTATCAGAGATGGATAATGGAATTGTAAAATGTAGGCTACAGATCAAATTAAATTCTGTGCTTCGTGGAAGAACGCTCCACTCCCCTGCACGTGGTAAATTCGTTGCCATATTTTTCTTCTCATTTCTCATTATACTCGATTATATGAAAAGCAGTAGAACAGATAGATGAAACCATAGTCGTGGTGATCGGCAACCGAAACCACATTAGGCAACACTAGGGTGTGTGACATTGAGCCCAATGACAGCAAAGCTATCTCCCACACAAGTTGGCTAGTGGTGGCCGGGTTCGAACCGCGAACCCTTTGACCCAAAGCACGCCGGTGACCGCGAATGAAACTGATTGACTACCGGTTTAATACCCTGCTTGTCTTACTGAGGTTTTTAATTCTTCGCTGCTCAAAGTCCCGGGTTTTAGGTCACTGGTTACTATAACCGTACGGTAGGCCCTGTTCACTGTGCTTAAACCCCTTTACTATTTATCACACTCAGGTTTGTAATCAAAGATGAACGTGGAATGTCGTTAAGCACCAGATAGTTTATGGTATTAATAACAGTTTATATTTCAGCTTGGATCGAGCAACATTGTCTAGACTAGCATAGGACTGATCGTCTTCACCCTCCCCCCCTTCAGCCCCACGTTCACCTTTTCGCACGCATCTATTCAAAGCCCTTCGTGGTATCGTTTGAACTCCCCTTTGAGTAGCCTGAGGCTTACTCGTTCCACGCTGACAGTGTCATATAAGTTATCGCAATTCGGTGCGTGAATGACACCGACTAGCGTCGTATTTTATGTGTCTATCAGGGGACCGTTACAGTTTGTGATGCATAGAATAATCTGTGTCCGGCTCACTCAGTATAGTCTTGAATCGGTACAGATCTATCAACCAGGTAGATTACATGTCATTTCACAAGTATACACACTGATTGAGATCAGTGTTTTAATAGAGCTTCATTCCCGCCCTAAGTCAACAGACTTATCTGTCGCTATTTGGTTTTGGTCTCCCACATCGGTCCCCCTAGGCGGTCAAAGTCGAAATTTCTTTATGGGCGATTTAACAAAGCCAAAGCTTATCATGCCTCATAGAATTTTTACAGAATATTTTGAATAACTTTACAAAGAGAAAATAATAATAATAACAATTTGCATGATCGCTCACGGATGTCGAAATTTTAAGTGTTCCAATGCTTTATCAAGTTGCGATTTAAATAGTTCGACTGTAGGAGCGCACTACATCGGATGGAAGAGAATTCCGTACGCCGCACACTGACTGCAAACGAGTGATGCCGGCAATCAAGGTGGTTGTTCTGGGTCTTCAACTTTAGTGGATTTCCTCTGAGGTGATCATTTTGAGATAAAATTAGCGTAAAGCGGCATAGGTGGTTGGGTTGATGCAGTATATGATATGCCAAGATTAGGTCCCCCCGAAGTCGACGGTCAGTCAGAGCCATTACTGATTTCGTATGAATAAGTTGTTTCAACCGTTTATTTTCGAACATTGTGAATAGAACACTGCCGTCTTTATCTTGGTCTATATATCGGCATCACTATTCGAATAATTCGCTGTATTTACTAGTCACATGGCACACTGAAGGGAATAAACTACACAGAACAGACAATATAATCTGTAATAAAGACATCACTAGCTACGCATATTTCATCAATCGAAGCTTGCATCGAAGAATGAATATTCTCTCTAACCTTGCTCTATGTTGACCTGATCTGTGGTACTTTACCTGATAGTGCCATCGTCTATTGCTTCCCCGGAAAACTCTTGGAAGGGAAAGCTCGTCCAAATATTTGACATTTAAGTCACAGTTAATTGTGAGTACTAGTGTGGGATAATTCATATTAATTTGAACTGACCATCCCTCAGACTTTACCTTCACGCACGATCCTCGGTCTATCCAGTCAACCGTACACTCAAAAGTACTAAACTGGATTTTTGCTCTTATTAGAGCTCACCGGTAGTGCATATCCACCCCCATCACGATAAGACTGCACCTTGATGTGGTGTGATGGAGAGGTTACTCCAGCAAATAAACACGATGAGGGGCAGTTTATCAGTAAAAATCCTCTGCTAGATGGATACATGAACGGAGTATCTGGGGCTTAATCTCGACGATGGGAGAAATCTTTTCACTTCATTGGACAGCTACCGTCCGCCCAAGCTGGGTAGCCCGCAGCCACTAAGGTACTTTCCCGTCTTCGTTTCGGTTGTCTCATTGGATGCATGGCACTAAGGGCCAATTCCGAACAGCGGACCGACAATCAATGCACCAGCGAACAATAGACTGAACCGAAACCCAAAAAACCTTACATAACAGGGCTCTAGAAGCTCTCACACGGGTGCTCCCGTCACGTTCCCGCGTTGGATCTACACCCCACTGTCTTCTGGTTCAGACTTTTGAGTTGCTCTTGAAAAACCCACAAATTTCCGCTACATTGCTGGTCAGACTTTCGAGTCGAAGGCATCAGTCAGGGTTACCAAAGAAAAACCCCTTTGTCGGTATGGGCTACCGCGAAGTATTTTTGCCCCAAAGTTTCAGACACCCTCATCTCATCTGTTCAGTTCTTTCTCTCAGTTCCGAATAATCTTAGATGTCTCCCGTTTATACAACCCATCGGATATCACTCAACGTTTTACCAGTAAGGCGAATCAGAAGTTATAGGATTTTGGGAGTAAAAATTCCCTTTTCATTTAACCGCGTTCAATGTCGGCACACTACCAGATCGGTTAACAAGCTACCTTAGCTAGAATCCTTAGAACCTGCCATTTAGATGTATGCTGTGTCTCCGAAACACGCATACAAGACCCTACTTTAATTATCAATTCACGATCTCCAGATCCGACCTCATCCTCACGCTTCACCCTCCGTGTGTCAGGCGATTCGGCGTCTGAAGCTCACGGTTTCGCTGGTGTTGGGATTGCGTTAAGGCCGAGCGTAACTTCTTGGTTGGATTCCTGTTAATAGCTAGCTGTGCGCTTTACGTCTGGATGGTTCAGTGCGGATCAACAGCTACCCAACGAAACGTTGATGCTTATTCATCCTATCCGTATATGCACCGACCGATTGCAGTACACCTAAAATAAAGGATAAATTCTACAAGGATCTTCCCAATTACTCCAAATTGTTTGATCAACGGACATCGTTGTAGTTGCCGGAAACTTCAATGCTCAAGTAGGATCCCTGGATGAATCAGAAAGGCTTCTTGGCGGACCATATGCAATCCCAGCCACCTTGACGGAGAACTTTGACTTTTCTCAGAACATGGATTTTTCCTGTCAAGCACCAACTTATAGCACAAGGAACGACACCGTCTTACATTGAAACCGCCTACTTCTTCACATCGATGGACCCAAATCGACCGCATCACTATCAGTTACCGCTGGAAAGGCTCAATTCACGACTGCCGTTCTCGCTGGTCAACACCTGTGGATAACGACCACGCTTTGTTACGAGCCAAATTCTTCTCTCACCCGGCAAACAACCGCAATAAAGCCACCAGGTTCAAAGCACAAACGGTGGGTTTCGTCGACCTCGGTTGCCCTGCTGGACGCCCACAAAACCCTTCCTCCTGATGTCGCATATGACACAAATCCCTTAAAGGCCAACTCATCAAGAGTATGAGGAATGATTGCGAGAATTGTTGGGTAGGAAAATCTAGAGAAATAGAGAAACCTTCGGCTGTTGGTAATAGTCACACACTTTCTCCTCTAATTCGGAATACGGGCCTCAGAAAAGTAGGTTTAAGGTATTCTAGGAATTCGTCGTCAGCACCGTTGTCTTGATCTATTTCGAGCCTCAGTTCAGCTGGCCCCCATCGAAATCAAACTTGTCACCTCGGCTGGGCAAATAATCCCATTTTATACCAGTCCTCCATCTGAAATGGAGGTTTCCCGGTAAGTGACCTATAGGTCACGTTAGACTCCCTGGATGGGAACCTGGGGATCATGGTAATCAATGGTTAAAGACACTGAGTGACATGGCTGTGTCGTAAACAGTGGCGCTCATGTATTGTCTCACTTTCTTCGCAACCTTAATCTTCTCAAACTTTCCATTTCCCCTTTGACGTTACTTTCAGCTTTCCTATCTTTCTAATCACAGTTCTCCATTTGCCGTCTGAGAAGAGGGTACCATTCGTTCAGTTTTCGTTCGAAGTCGTACCAGTTCTATGCGGGCATTCCTTTCGATACTTTCATTATGCACTCGCTGTCTTGTCCTCTCTTCTGACTTCCAGTAAATGGGGCTTTTGGCTCACCGAACCACATGTCCTAAATTCTGGCACAACGAATTGTTTTTCATTTGTCTACACATACTACTACTGTTGCCCATTGTCCGACAGTTCAGTGCACTCGTTTAGCCTCGCACATTCTTCATTCCCGTGCAGTTGTGTGTGTAAACTGGTTACTATTTGCACGAAATGGTACACACCTTTACGGTTTGTTTGGATCAGACAAACTGTCCATGCTTTATCGTACACAAATCATCGAACTGTTTCCTTCGCATTCACACTTGCTTCCCTTGCCCCACTCCCCTGGGGGATTCATGATTCATTGCCTATTTAGACCGTGTATTATAGTTAACTGCATTACAAGTGTGAATATTTTGTTGTGATCACCTTTCAGTCGTTTCGTGTTTCACCGGATAAACTAAAGTCCATGTCTATCCGTAATTTGATAAATGTGTGTGTGCCTCAGTTACTCACTGAGACAAGTACGTTCGATATTGGATGGATGATATTTTATCGTTATTGTTATGACAGTCCTAAATACCTGAGACTGTGGGGTTGATACGATAATCACCAAAACCAGACACGAAGTACCAGAACTGTCACCATTGCACAGGAAGTCATATGGAAAGGATCTGGACTGTTTTTTTCATTCTGTTCTGTACATGAGTCACGGGTACTCGGGGTTGACTTTTCGAAATGTCAAAGCTGTTGACTTAAACCCCTGAGTTTTTAATAAAGAAACGCATGGGATCCCATTGGAGATAGGTTTAGCAATCAGCCGTTGCTTATTGCCAGTGTTGGGTGTCAGTGACCGAGCGGTTCGCGCTGGTGACTGCAAGTTTAACCGCTTGGCCATCGACTCTTTGGAAAATTTCAATCAACAACATTCCTATCCTACGGGTCCCAACTAGGTTGTTGTGATCGGTGAAGCGAGCCCAGTAGTCTCATCAGCGTTTTTGTCTTCGCCCCCCCCCCNCCGCATCAATTCGTGATCTCCCCGTCGTGGTGCCTCCGGAGACCTACCTATTTCTTACTTCATAGACTAACTCGGATCCCGCACCGCACGTGCGACCAGTTTGCAAACGTCAGCCTGGCTTTTGCCACTACTAAATGTGAGTAAGTTAGGCGAGCGTTGGTCGGAACACAGAGAGTCAAGATGCTGCCTCTGTTGTTCAGACGATAATAGTGAGAACCTAGTTACCGCGCTTTATTCGGAAAGGTCGTGTGCTGAAATTAAGATATCGGTTTGGAGCAATTCTTTCAAACGATCGTACTAATTGAGTAGGATGTGTTGAATGATTGATCTTCCCCATCCTCTCAAATTTTTATTGCCCTGGCTCACTTGCATCATGCATTATCAGTGAAACTCGTCAGATTTTCACTTCACCCATGTTTTCATTGCTTTACTTTATTTCGGATTACTCCTGATATGGAATAAAACGGAATCGTGAACTTAATCACGTTCCCATCGAGTTCAAGTTTAGAAAAGTTCCAAGTCTTTTTGAGAATATTATTTGCATAGCCAAGTATTGCTTCTAAGGCAGTGTTTTGTTGGTGTATGGCCTCCGCTGGCTCCATAGTAGCTGATTCGACATCGGATGCGGGTTCATACATCTCCTTACGTTGGTGCGGTGGGATACCTCTTATACCCACTCAGGACTAGTTGTCCTAGCATACCCTGCACTATGTATCCAAGGGGTTTACTTCTAATGTGGGTTAGCCAGCCTGTCGAACTGTTTGTCACTGTTTCGTGCTTCAGTTTCTTGGAGCTACTAGTAAGAACTAGATAAACGAACACGCTCAATGAAGAGAAATATTACCCTAAGGGATATGTCAGGCTACTCGTTTAGATATGCTGATCCCACCAAAAACCTCCACAATCCACTGAAAATTGCACTTGACGGTTCACAAATCAAATTGGGAAATCTCCTCGGATGTGTTTGTTCAGCGCTAAAATGTACCCAAAATTAGTGACGACGTCACTTAGCATGTGGACCATTGATTGGGTTTCACCGATTTCGGATCAACCTCATTTGATGCTGTTTGTATGCTCTCCCTAGTATGTCATTTCCTTTCGACCGGACGAAGCCTCCCGGGGAATTATGAAACTGGCCGGATTATAATTTTGTGGTTTCCATGCTTCTAATATCTCAAAATCGATTTTCCATGTTTTTCAAAGCATGCTCATTTGAAAATCCTCAGCTCTGGTACCCAGTTTTGGTTGAAAGCGTCTAACCCGAAAAACCACCACCCAGTTACCGTGATGACTATTCAAAATTGCCCATCTGAGATGTTGAAGATTGTGATGCACCCCCTCCTCGTCAATTATTTAAGCTGTCAGTTGGAAAACTCTCTATCCATATACTCCAGAAAAATAATCAACACCGTTGTTCACAAAACTCATACTCCCCTTGTTTATTCACCCCTCGTTCCCAGATTCCACGCGTAGTTCCAGTCGTCTGAGCAATATGGGCCGTACTAAACGTAACGGACTCGGAGATACCACAGCCGGATCAGAACTGGACAGTCAGATAGCCTCATTCTGGGGTTCAACTTTCGCTGACCTCCTTAACGGTTCCTCCGGTGCCGGTGAGGAGGAGATGACCATGAGCCGAACATGTGAGTGTTGTAATTCTTGTTTGTTTGTTTTCTGACACCGCTGATCGTTTTGTTCACTTTTAAATCCCACCACCAATCCCTCACTGTCACGAAAGTGGGTTCTCTGCCCCCGAATTCACAAAAGTGTATCTCATTGTGAGTCTTAGTGTAATCTACCACTCGTGGACCGACGGTTTGGGCTTCTTATTTCCAACACCCATCAACAAGCCTCCGCAAGCACAGTGCTGCCCTAACTTACTTTTCACCAAACTTGGCCGTGTAAGAATAGAATACGCATGTCAGATCAAAGCACCCCCTTACCCTATCGCTTTTCCCTTGCAGCTGGATGTCTCAACAAAAGTATTCTGGAAGGTCCTAAGGTATCAGTCGTGATTGAGGTTGCGTTGTGGTCGTTGGTGGTAGGCAGCTTTGTTGTCGTCCGGTTCAATACCCCGCCCAACCTATAGGGGCTTTGTGTGGTTCACCACGTGGGTTACCGGTTTTCTTCACTGAACAGCAGGTCCTCGTGACTGTTTTTTACCCCGCCTGCTGTTTATCCCACTAAATTATGTAATAAAAAAATACAGTGGTGAGTAGTAAAATCCAATCATGCATCAAATCTCAATGGGTAGTGATCAGGCAAAGCCTAGTCCCACAGAGTCAGATAATTGAGAACCAGTTGGTTTCTCCTTCAGTCCGATTTCGTTCCTGGAGCAGTTATTCGAGAAAAGAAACACGGAGAGGAGCATTGTACGGTTCAAAAAGCTCCTGGTAGATGTATGTGGGAGCGGGTTACGTAGGGCTTCCTACATATGGGGAAAGAATCATTTGTAATTCATTGACCAGCTTTCACCCACCCAAGCTAGGCAACCGCAGCGAACATGGTGTTTTCCCGTTCACGTTCCACCTCGTCCACTAGATGCGTGTGGCTAAATGCCAATCCTAGCACCTGAGAACAGAACACAACCGAATCCCTGAGGCTTTGTATTGCATATCGGGTGCTTCGGTCACTTCTGGAACTTAGATTAACTCCCGACTGCCATGTATGTCAGATCTTTCAATCAAATTTCTCTGATCACAGGGCTCCTGTACGAAAATCTCCTTCGTTGGTGTGAGCTATCTCGAAGTACGCCGTGACCTGAAGTTTCAGGCACCCCTTTGGAAAATTCTCTTTCTCGTCACTCTAATGCTTTCCTCTATTCTTGAAACACACGAGATACCCCCTGTTTGCACTCCACAGAGTGTATAACTCATAGTTTGACGAGTGAGTTCGGTGAATCAAAAGCCATTGGATTGATCGAACCCAGGTTTCCTTTTCATTTTGATGCTTTCAATGTCAGATCGATCGCAAAACTGCCTCGACTGGAACCATTGTAACTTTCAGTGTGAATGTACGCTATCCCAAAGCACATGCACTTCGGTTTTCAGACCTAACCTCAACTGCAAACCTTGCGTTCCGTGTTTCTGGCTGGTAGACATCTAACATTCGCGGTGATGACAGCGTCGGGTTTGCTCCCCGTATCAAGTTTGAGCGTACAATCATAGTCACACTTTGACAGAAAGCACGTGGTTTCAGCTCATCGTGAACGTCTCGCTTGTTTTAGTGTAAAAATGTCCAGATTGCAATGAAGCGTGCATTCATGATGTGTCATACACGCACCCACATGCGTTTTCCTTTGATTGGTTTACGAACACTTCCCCATCCTATCAGGTTACGGGTATTGGTATTTCATTGGTCTTTGTCACACATGACATTCCAGTTTATTCGTGAAGATCAATGCAACTATGATTGAGTAAACCCAATCTACACGCTTACAACATTTATTGCCATTGTCCCTTTGAGGTTACGATTGTAGGTCAATAACCGTTTTTGGCC